TGATCCGCCTACGGCTCTTGAGGGTGGCTTGAACATCTTAGCCCTAGTGCATATGTCACAAAAAGGGTTCTTAGGGATGTGAGTCAGCATATGTCGAACGGACTTGGCTTCTTCTTTTAACTCTTTTTCCCCTAGTGACCTTTTGTGAGCACCATCATCATGGACATTACTACTGCTACCCTTAGATCCTTCCAAAGGCGGCTCAACCTCCCGGTCGGCATCAGGGACATCAACCTCCTCAGCCTCCAATGGCTGGGGCTCCGGTAAATCAACATTGATACCCATGGGGTCATCACCAATGATTTCAATGTCCCCATCGGGCTCCGGAGATTGTTGAGCTTCATCTGATGCCGGGGTGGCAATGCTTGGTCTAGGCTGAGTTGATGGAGTGGAAATCGTCTTTGAATTATTTGCAAAGTAGGGTACATAATCTCTGACAACTAACTCAATGCGTTCCCCATTTGCTTTGACCATGTACGGAGGTTCACCTTTGGAGCCTCTCCATATGAAGTCGTAACCATCATCAATGCATCTCATCCCGACCGAAATCACAGGAGGTGAGCTTCGAACAAGATATGGGTCAATGGTCTTGCCCAACTTAGGAACAAATACTCTTCCTTGTTTCGATGACGAACTTTCACCATTGGCAGTGATCATGCGAATGGGGTTGTTGGAGTAGTATCCATAGTCGTCCGGCAATTCACTGTCATTGACAAGATCTTGAGCACTCCCCGTATCTGCAATCCAGTCAAGTTCGAGGTTGATCGCTCCCTTCACATCTTCTCTACATTCCGCAGGGGTGGCTTTGAGTCCCTTTGGGATACATTCATTGCAACCAAAATCTGTGTCGCATAAATAGGCACATTTGCATTCTATTCCCCGAAGACAATTGGAAACTGATCCTGCCAACATGGTACCGGTCAAAGCGGCATCATTCACAGCAAGTTGATCAACTTCAAAATGATGTCCCCATGGAAAGGTAACCTTATCCTTGGTGACTGCGTTTCCAATTGGCCTCAAGTTCCCTCGGACTTTCACGTGAGATACGTCCGGTGAATCATCAAAACGAATCGATGGACAAAATACTCTTGGTTGAGGTACACAAAATGCCTGAGACACGGATGCAAGCATGGATGCAACAAGACAAACTGCGGCAGGAGACGGCTTAGATGAGCTGGCCCCGGATCCTTTAGACTTCGGGGATTTCGGGCTCTTGGGGCTCTTAGAGCGGCTAGAGCTTCGGGATCCCTTCCTTTTCGGGTTCTTGGGATTCTTCTTTTTATTTTTGGTTTCGCTACTGGCCGAACGGGCAGGAGTAGCTTGTCTTGGCTTTCCCACTGAACCCTCATGAAGGAATTTGCAATCAGCTCCTCTATCGCAACGTCCCTGTTTCCAAAACTTGCAAATCTTCTTACCTTTCCCCTTTGGTTTGGGAGAACCAGAACGTTCACTTGAGCGACCTCTGGTTTTGCTGGGCTTACGACTTCTATCACGTGGCTTGGGGACTTCATGCTTGTAAGTACAGTTGTCCTTGCTACAGCCTCCCTTATTCCATGCCACACAATACCCCTTGGGAATGAAACCTGTCTTGCCCTCGACTGCAGGAGCGGAGGGACGACCGGCACCCGAAAGACCTTTGGCAACTCGATCACGATTTGCCTCCAACCTCTCACGGTCAAGGTGGCGTCGCACGGCAGAAACAAGGAAACTGTAGTTCCGTTTTTCGGTTCCTTCATCAGCTCTATGATACTCATTCATGTCATGTTGGATAGCCTTACAATTCTTCACTTGTTTGTAGAAGAGTGTTTCCAATACACTTACGTCAGGAGCCTGGACAATACCAGCCAACACTTGATCCCAGTTTGAAATGAAAGACTTCAAATTCTCCCCACGCAATTGGACACTGAACAAATCTTGAAGGGCATAGGTTGCTCCGTGCTTGATGTTTGTACTGAAGTGGTCATGCAACATGAACAACACTTGTCTCCCTCTTACAATCCGTCCAGCGGTGGCTTCAGTCTCCTTGAAGGTGTCTACCTTGCGGGCGAAGTCACCAGTGATGATATTGGTGAGTGCAGAAAGTAACTTTGCATCTAATGTCGCAAACGGCGCAACCTTCCGGAGCGCTTCAAGGGTCTGTTCTTCTTTCCAAGAATCACTAATCCACTTGAAAGCACTGTCGGGATCGGTAGATGCTGCTACAACTGCCTCTCTAGTTTTGATTCTCCAATTGCGATAGGTTTCTGCCAATGGGAATGCTGGGATCTTGATGGTGTCAGCTTCCTTGACCTTGGGTTTGTCATCATGCCTTGGGTCAATGTAGCCACCTAGAAACTTGATCATTCTTCGCCTGAACTTTTCATCATCCTCATCATCGGGATCATCATCACCGTCACCATCGCCATCGGGAGGATTGGGACCAGCTTTTCCTTTTCTGGGTGCCTTACGGTTCCTATCCCCTTCAGGTTTATCAATTGGATCAGGTGGTGATGGTGGTCCACCTCCCCCATTTCCCCCGTTGCCGTCTCCTCCATCCCCGGGGTCGTCCCCATCAGGCGAGTCATCGCCCCCCGGCTCGAAGTAGTCCATCTCATCTGGGCCTATTTCGGTCGGGGCATATTGATTGGTCGGTGCTGGGGAATTGACATTGTCCATGGGATGGTTATCTCGGCGACGATTATTGGCCTCTCCTCCCGAAGGGCGTTCCTCAGCGGAAGACCTTGCAATATCCGATTCCTTCTTCACTTGAACTGGGACTCGATACGATGGATCATGATAAATGATTTCAATACCATCCTTTTCATAAGTCTTGGCATCAGGTGAAGTAAAGTTGATCGGCGTTCTTGCAATTGGAGGTCGGGCTACATTGGTCGGAGGTGCTGCGGGTGCAGCCTTTCGGGTCGGTGGAACAAATTCGAGATTTGGGATCTCCGTTGATTCATGGGTTCCGGCTGTCATGGTCATGGCGGCAGTTTCGACAATAGGGCTTGGACGAACCTGAGCAAAGTGGGAATCGAGCATACTTTGCAGTTTCAGATTATGTTGCATCTGGGCTTGTACCATGTGTTCAAGCTGTGTAATGCGCTCATTCTGAATCCTTCTCTCTTCCTCAGCTGCTCTCTTCAATTCAAGGATTTCTTGCTCCTTACTTGATAGTGATTGTCGATGGTTAGCATCAATAACACGTTGATAGGCTTGAATTTTCTCATTCATCTGAGCTTCACGGAACCTTACGTGTTCGTGCGCCTCATGCTGTAAATTCTCTTTATATTGAGCACTCACATTCAAAAGTTCTTGTTCTTTGATTCTGATAGCATCAAGGGCCCTCTGACTTTCAATACCCTCGCGGACTCGCAAAGCTTCCTTCAACTCCTCAGTCTTGGCCGTGTGGATCGCTTCAGCCTGAGCTTCGGTGTGAGCCAACACCTCACGATGACGGAGCTCGGCCGCTGTTTCCACAAGGCTTGTCATGGCAGGATCATGTGAATGGACATGCAAATTCTGCTCGACAAAATTCACTTGAGGATTATCCATATGCACATTGTGGTGAAATGTGTTGTGAACATTCATTTGGTTCAATTGGCGTGTCGGCGGCCCACTCTCCCGAGCGGCTTGGGGAACATATCCACGATGGTTAAAACCAGCATGAGAAGGCACAATTGCGTTACTCAGATGCGGTAAGTGGCGTCTGTCCCTCAAACTACGCGATTTGTCGGAACCAGTGGGTGTGCTTATATCAATGGAGAATGTGGTGTCTGAAATAGGCAAGGCTCCCGGATTGGCCATGGCTGCGTCAGAGGAAACGGGAACACCGGGGCCCTCAGGGGAAGTACCTGAGGGGGCAGACATGCCTACGAAAGAGAACGTTACGCTACGGCTGATAACCTGTTTTACAGGTCTACCAAGCCACAATGCAACTACAAGTAGACGCTTGTTTCTTGAGCCACGCACGACGTATACAGCATATATACAACCAGTGAGACCATGTAAAAACAAGTTTGAAAAGAAATGGAACCCCGTAATCACTTTGTAAAATTGGTTGCATCTTGGGGTATAGCCCTTTTTGGGAAAAAGCACCTATTATATGCCGTGGTTAAAACGTGGTATGTAGGCTATGGTCATCCCAGCTTTTTTGACAATCCTTATCAAAAGTTTCCCTATTAGTGGTGATATGACCACCCCCAACATGGGTAAATCTTATCCAACTGTTGACCATGGCACATGTGTTGTAACCTATGTACATAGACATAGATAACAACCCCCAAAAAGATAGAAACGTGAATATCATCTACAACTCTCTGGAACACTTATTTCTATCTTTTTGGAGGTTGCTATGTATACATAGAAATGTTAGTTGGTTGCCATACATAACCGAGGATACTGCATCAATAAATATAGAAGTCGGCTTGTTCCTGATCTCATAGTACAAGGCGAGCCGTTGGACTCCGTCGGAGCCTTCGTATATACCCTACAACAGATTTTAAAAGTACTATAGCTGGTTGGTGGTTGACCTACCCCTCTGAAAAATATGAGAGTCAGTTGGGATGATGACATTCCCAATAATTATATGGAAAAAATAACACATGTTCCAAACCACCAACCAGAAAGTCATGGGGTTAAGAAATTTGCAGCAACTTAGCTATGGATTATTTAGAAGCCCATCTTTTAGATAAAAATGGGATATACCCCCTTGATAACCATCAATTCATGCAGAACAAAGTGATACAGTAAACTGATGGATGTAGTTTTGTTCCCCTAACATTTCCGTCAAACCAATATTTATATATGTATTATATATATAATTGTTCCATATATACAAATATACATCTATTCCAAGACCCACATGTAAGCCATTTAACCCATATATATATACATACTAATTCCCATATAATTATATATATATATTATCATGATATGTTCATAACTGGCTAACACTATGGTTACTACCCACTCTAACCAGCGATTCCTGTCATCGCTCAGATCGATCCTAAGGCTGCTGCCACCATGAGGTTGTCCAAACTTGAGATGATCACCGTGACCTGACCACGGTTTCTGATGGGATTTGACCTGAATCGATTTTTGGGGTTCCATGGGATTACCCTCTGGTTATGTCAAAGTAGCTATTGAAAATGGTGATTCAGAGTGGATTTACCCATTGAAAATGGTGATTTTCCATCGTTATGTTAGTTTACCAGAGGGTACTATATCGATCCGGAATTGATGTGGGACGTTGTTTTTCCGTTTTTGGAGATTTTTTGGGAGGGATCTGCTGTTCTGTCCGTTTTCCTTGCAATTTGCAGAATTTTGGAGCTGGAAGCTGCGATTTCAACGGTATTGCAACATCTTGGAGTTCGAACCTCTCAGTTTCCATGATATTTGCAACATTTAGGGTTTGTTTAGGTTTGTTTTAGGGTTTATTTAGGATTGGTTTAGGGTTGGTTTAGTTTTTTAATGGTTGGTTTTGTTTCTTTTAAGGGTTGGTTTGGGTAATATTTAGGGTTTGTTTAGGACCGTTTAGGATCTATGTAGGGTTGGTTTAGGGTTTCTTTAGGTGTGGTTTAAGATTCATGTAGGATCTATTTAAGGTTGGTTTAGGCTTTAGTTAGAGTTGGTTCACGGTTTCTTTGGGTTTGGTTCAAGATCTATTTGGGTGGGTTTAGGATTTAGGATCTGTTTAGGGCTGGATTAGGGTTTATTTAGCATAAGTTTCAGAGTTTTGTTTGGGGGGTTCTTAGGGTTGCTTTTGTTTATTTTGGGTGTTAGTTTGGTATTGTTTAGGGTGGTTTAGGTTTTGTTTGGGGTAAGTTTCAGGTTTTTTTTAGGGTTTAATCATATAATATAGAGTTGCTTTAGTTTTTTGGTGGGTTGGTTTGGGGAGGATTTAGGGTTGGTTTAGGGTGCATTTATATTGTGCATCTTGGGGTTTATTTAGGCTTGAGAAGCAAAAATGCAGAAAACAGAAAAGAAGCAGAACAGTGAAGAAGCAGTCAAGCAAAGAAGCAGAACAGCGGCGAAGCAGAGAAGCAGGGAAAGGAAGAACGGAAGAACAGCAGAAAACCAAAAAGCAGAACGGCAAAGAAGCAGGGAAACAGAAATCCAAAAAAATGCCCAAAACGGAAAAAAAAACAATCATTCCCGCCCCCAAAAAAGCCCTCCCTATTGTATTATAAGACCCTCCGAATAGCACCAGTCAAACATGCTGCAGATCATGGATTGCCTAAGGCAATCCATGGCAATCCATCACTTGGCCCAAAAAAAGTGGATTAGAACATGCACATATTTCAAGGTGATGTTAAAAATCCGCAAAAAGGTACATTTACCCAGGTTTCTGGATGATTCTCTATAGAAATTGCTGGCTTCCCGTTGCCACATGTGATTGCCACACAGCAGCGACTGGCTCCTAAAAAAAACTCGGATACAATTCGTTACCCAGCTACAGTAATGTGGGTAAAACAATGCCATCCCCCAGTCATCATCATTTTTATAGGTGGTATGTTTACCATTCCCAGTCATGGGTGGTTTATGACATTGTTTTAGCCACATTACTCAACATGTCCATTTTTGAACATGAAAATTCTTCGATTTTCTGCGAAATCTGGAGAGGATCATCGACATGATTCACCTTTGAGGATACCCTGTGTATCTACACATATCTGGTTGGTGGTTTCAATCCCTCTGAAAAATATGAAAGTCAGATTGGATCATCATCCCAGCTATTGGGGAAAATAAAACATGTTCCAAACCACCAAGCAGACGCCAAGCAGATATACATTACATCACATTACAGCACATTACCGTACAGTACATGACTTTACTTCTGTATCTATACCTAGCCAAACGATGCCAAATGGCAGTTAAACACCCAAACATGTGGTGGATTGACGGCAGACTTGTTGCTTGGGGGTCTGTTGATCCCCTCTGAAAGCGAACAGCCTTCAGTGGGGATAGTGTTTATCCAGTTTGTATCCAAAAAAAGTCGCAAAAGACCTGGATAGAGTTCCTTGAGTTCCGGATTTCCAAAAGGGGATTGTGAAAACAAGCTCTTACTCTTACCCCCCCAAAAAAAATGACTGTTGGGAAACCGTGCAGGCTCCAGAGGGACCTCTTCTGCCCGTTTTCAACCGTGAAGCTTACGGTTCAATGCTCGCAGCCATGCAAGCGGCGATGTTACAACTGATTTAATCTGGTGATACCCTTTCCTTATTCAACATAGCTATGATGATTTACCTTTTAAGAATGGTTATTTTCAAGTTCGCTATGTCAAATAACCTGACGGTAAGTATAATTCAACATTCCTCATTAGTCGACTCTATTCCAATCGACAGACCCTGCCTGAAAAAGCTCAACAAAACAAATTGGCAAAGGGCTTATCATGGCTTCTCCTTCCAGAATCTTCCAGACCTGTAGCCAATGTATCCATATGTGATTTACCCTCCAGCAATCAAACATGGATTGCTGGAAAATTCATGAACCTCCCCATTTGGTTCGAAGATTTTCCCAGCTACAAACTATAAACCTCCATTTTCTTTAGGTATTTCCCTGCCCATTTTGAGGTGACTGTGCCCCTCAGGCGACCGATATCCCGATATCTTGTGTTTCAGCGGTGGGGGGGTTGGTTTTCGGGGTGGGGGGATTTGGGGTGGCTATTAACATGCAGTTTCTATTCTTCTTGGATGAGATGCAAACATATCACACATATACACACACAGTGTGATTATTTGAGATGTGAGACGTAAGAAGTTTGAATGATGAGGATGTACTCGCCTGATGTTTCCTAAGTCACCTGTAGCGCAAGGACAGGCAAGGACCACAGCAAACGAGCAAAATCCACATGTTTGGAGTTTCAAACCCTGGTTGTACAGACCTGGATTCCTAAAGCAGCCTGAGTACATCAGTTTGTGCAAGAGTTTGTCAGTGACAATTCTCGACAGGTGACAGCATGACTGACTCAAGTTTCAGATGAATATGGATCTGGTACTTGAAAGTAAAGCAGGATCTCAGAACGATCTCCTGCTGGAGTTGGGACAGCTCATGATGTCAATAAGTAAAAGATTGTTTACGGCTACTGGAAGTGACCTTGACACGAGGCAGGCAGTGCAAAAAAATGCTTCAGATGCGTTTGGGGCACAAGTTTTCGTGTTTTTTTTCAAACAATCGGCGTTTCCCTAAAGCAAAAACAATACCAGCTTCATTTTGAGGCGCACCTCCAGTGTCTTTGAAGCTTTTTGACACTTTTGGTGGTTTCAACCCCTCTGAAAAATATGAGTTCGTCAGTTGGGATGATTATTCCCTAACATATGGGAAAATAAAAAATGTTCCAAACCACCAACCAGGTTTTAAGTTGTTTTGAGGATTAAGACAACTGAAAAACAGACATTTTCGCGCGGTCGCATGCGGTCTCTCCACAGGCACCACCACCAGATTTGATGACACCACAGGGTGCCCTGAAGCCAATGTGTCACCTCCACTGGGATATGAAATCATCCCAGAAATAGCTCATGACTTAACCATAAGTCAAAAAAACTCGGAGTTCTCTGAAGGCCAGTGAAGCATCTAGTTTGAGATTGTTTGATTTTGGGACCGCATGAAATCAGGAGTGTTTGCACCATCGGAGCCTGGTCTCGCATCTCTTCCCGCACGGTGTTGAGGATATCAATCCTTCACCCGAAACTTCCCCAACGACTGGTGGGTGAACAGAATTTCCCAGATGGATTGTTATAATCCCAATGTATTGGCCCGTATAACCCCATGTTTTTCGTCAAGCAACAGGGGCTTCGAGCACCTGCTCAAACGATTTCATGGGCCAAAGATGGTCAAAGCATGCTCCAGATGAGGGTCACTGTGATTCCAAAAATTGAGAAAAATATATGCAGTTAACAATAGTTATGGGTTTTCACATAATGCCATGTATGAAGATATCAAGAGAACAGTCCAAGATTCTCTCAGCATGGCTTGCTGAAACATCTCAGAAAAATTCACCTTGATACTTTGAGAGAGGTTTCCAAGTCATTTGGACGGAAGAAGAAACAATTTGTAAAAACCAGCTTTCAAAGAAAACCAACCTATCCTTCTGGTTGAGCCTGAGATTGAGCCTGAGATTTACCACATTTCACTCATACAAAAAACGAACTGGAAAATCACCATTTCTAATAGGTCAATCCGGGTAAATCAACGATGTCTATGGGCCATTTTCAATAGCAAACTGTTGACATCACCAGTTACGGCTAGTTCTTCACATTCCCTACAGTCGTAGCCTCCATCGCATCCCGACGCAATATCGAGCGGGAAACCCCGGGTTTTTTCCGTTGCGGTCCTCATACTCTGCAGGCCAATATCATAGCCTCGCTTAGACCACAGCTGGTCTTGGTTGTACGAGTGCCACCTCGGGCCCCGAGGTGCAAGCGACGTGCTTAAGCGAGGGGCGGTTGAATCCGGAGAAGGTTGTGAAGCTATCATCAACATGTTGGTGTATCGTTGATTTATTGACGTTGAATGCATTTTAATTTGCTGGTACGTTCCTAACTTTCTGAAAAAATGTTGATTCATGTTCAATGAGAGATGATATTAATGCCATTTCTGCAGAGACCAAAATTGGCCAGTGAGCCTACCATAGTCAGTTTACCCAATGATCATGCTCAAAGGGTGTCTGAAGAAGTATATATACATCATTGTGACACGGCATGTTGATTTCCTGAAGACAGGGTGGGATTGCCTGGTAGTGATTTCGAACCGAACCAAAACATTAGTCATTGAGGATCATTCATCATCATCCCAAAATGTGGTTGAAGATAAACATAGTTGAAGATAAACAGAGTTGAAGATAAACATAGTTGAAAATATACATATCACTACAATCATTATGTATATAGATAAATATATTTCACAGTCAAGACGTGGCACTGATTCTCTGGTCATCAAGTTGAGGGGGTATTGCTCCTCTCGGTCAGTACCGTGGCACAATGTTCCACACAGAAAGGGAACTCTTTGTTGGTGGTGACGCAGTACATCACACAAGTTTCAAGTGACGGCGGGTTACATCTTTCATACCATCTTTTGATATATTTTTGTACCTTGTTCATATATATATAATTATATACATCAAATATGGACTTGTTTTTGTCTATGGATGTCTATGGGTCAAACAAGAATCATCTGTTCAATCCCAAAAACGCAAACCACCTCAGATCTCCGGTTACCAGGGCAGACACACACACACACATTCTGACCTGTTGTCATTGATATGTTCAAAAGATTTCAAAAGTCACAAGAAAATGAATCAAGGGCCATCAAAAAGACCAATATGTTCACACTGAAAAGGGTGACTGTCAGTTCCTGTAGTTGGGTAAGACAGCTATATCCCGTATTTGCCCCTTTACATTCCAGTTGTAAAGGCGGGAACTGCTACCACGGTCAAAAGGTTTGGGTACGAGCATCCGCTATCTAGGAACTTCCGGTCTCATTTCATCACAATACTTGGGGAATCAGTTCCAGTTACAAGTAATTGTATACAGTATCTCTATCTATCTATCTATCTATCTATCTATCTATCTATCTATCTATCTATATTGGTATATTGGTATATTGGTGTATATATATATATATACAATTATCATATATATATATATAATCTACAATTATCATATATATATATATATATACATATTTCAGCATAGTTCTAGGGACCCGTTTTTTTCAATATCCACCGACGGGCTGACAACCGTGGGTCGACGGGCCGGGCTGCCGGACTGCTGTACAATTCCAATGGCCTCGCCCAATGTCATGGTTGCAGCTGCTGCCTCAGCTCCATGCCCAGCCCAGCCTGAAAATGTGGAAAAAACATGAAAAAACCCTCCTAGTTACCCTCTGGTAAACTAACCTAGCGAACTGGAAAGATCCACCATTTTCAATGGGAAAATCCACTAATAGCATGGTGATTTTCCATAGTTAGGTTAGTTTACCAGAGGGTATATATAGTTTTTTACAAAATGGGAAAAGGGAAAAGGATGATAAACGACTGCAGTTTGAGGTTCACCATTCTCAAACAAACCCGGATTTGTCATTCTACACTATTTGGATTTTAGTAGCCAATATGATGGGAAAAAAGAATCCTTTTATGGGGATATGATGAGATTTCTCATAGGATCCATAAGCAACATTCACCAACAAGTCAAGATGATGTGGGTTTCGGTTTCTCCAAAAAAGATGACTTTATTCATGTTTGCACCCAAGTTTTGGTACTAGTAATTGCTTTCGGAAAAAGGATGTTCTCATGGAATTTGGGGTATTTTCAGACAAAAATTAGCCTCAGTAACTCCACTTGGATGGGGCCCTATGAAAATTGCAAGTGAGCTGAGTCGAATGTGGATTTCCGGTGCATTTCGAAACTGTAACCGCTGAGTTTGACTTTGACTGAGCTTCAAAAAACACATGGTTTACGCAGAAAAGCACAATGATATGAGTGATATGAGTGATATGTGTATGGTACTGTTTGTCTATTCTATTGATTACCCTCCTGTAATTTAACAGCTTGCCATGGGAAGCTCGTGCCAATCTGAAAATGTGAAAGCATCGAACTCGATGGGTTATGGCTTCCAGAGCAAACTGTTAGTCATGAACAGAGGGTATACCCCCATTATATCCCATCTGGTTGGTGGTTTTTACCATCTTGAAGAATATTAGTCAATGGGAAGGATTATCCCATATATCATGGAAAATCCAAAATGTTTGAAACCACCAACCAGCCATTAAATCACCATGTTTGCTAGCTACATAGCATATCAATTCCATTAAATCAAGTCACCGCAAACGCTTAGTCATTAGTATACAGGCTATATCCCTAATATTCCATCAATATAACAAGAAGATTTCACTAGCCATATACTCCATGTATGGTATATTTACCATGATTTACCTACATGTGGGTGATTTTTGGGTTGAATGTTGATAGATATCATGATTCACCCTGAGACCCCGGCACCCATGGTGCTCAAAAAGAGCGCTGCGCTCAGGGCGCTGGAGCTGACTAGTGATATTTGACAGAAAACGACACGTTTTCTACGGGATGAAACAAGGTACAGATCGAACATGGATATATATATATATAGCTATATATATATTTGTATAATATGTGTATATACATATATATATAATATATGTGTATGAATATATATCTATATAATTAGTTATATATAATACACACGTTTGAAGATATTTTGAAACCACCAACCAGAAAATCATGACATGTGTGCACATTGGGCTTTGCAGTGTGTGTCCGTGTGTGTGTGTGTGCTGTCCTTCCTATGTTGATGTAGTGGGTCATGTCAAGCCATTTAAGTTGTTTCCCCGTTCCCAGTGATGCGTCAATTGTTTATTGATTTTCCAGCCACAGGATCCACATCTATCTAATTCCGTGCGCCATTTTCCTGTCCGGTTCAAATCACACAAAAAATCACGCGTGCTTCTGAGAAAAACGAGGGTTGCATAGGGTTGCCACAATATTTACCTTCGTTTTGCAACGAACCCGTGACACTTTGGGACGTTTAAAGTTCATGGAGCATCCAATGTTTCAGATTCCAGGGCTCCATGCTGCCCTCTAAGTTCCGTGTCTGGCTGCTTGAGCCATGGAATGAAAGTCAGCATCCAGTGATATCAAACGCGGCTTAAGACATTTCATAAGGTCTGATGGTCAATGATCCCTTGCTTCCTTTCGGCCTTCGTCTTTGCCCTGAGACTTCATGAGCAGAGGTCCAGACCCCACACCAAATTATTGTTTCTTCATCCCTAAGTTGACTCAAAGCGAGTTCATCGGGTCCGACTACGCACAGAAGTAGGGCTGTTTTGGCGAATTCATGTGCTTGGCCGCTGCATCGAAGCAACTGTGTGCCAGAGCCGAATATATGTGTATGTATATATATATATATATATCATTGTAATCATTATATATATTATATATATACTAGTGTATATATATAATTACTAGTATATATATATATATATTGGAAAATGAATGAGCGCATTGCTGGGGGATTTTCCAACAAGCCATAGGAGCTGATTCGATGATACTAGGAGTGCCACTGGTGAATCCATCCACCTCCAGTGGAATACATTCGACGCAGGTACCATTCATCATTACGGCCACTTACCACAACCAACCCATTTCGCCCTTTTCACCGGGGACATAGTCTGACTTGATGTCACGTCTGAGAGCGTTTTCCAGCTGGCAAGAAACTTAAAACTTAGGTTTTCGAAAATCGAAAATCCACATCCTGGAGAATACTGGAGTACCGGTGAAGAATTCACAAATTGGGAGGTTGAGCCCCCAAAAACTATAGTAACTATGAAAGAAAAATGGGAAGTCACGATCCACTTTCTGATGGAAAGTCAACAGGCAAAACTGCCAATCGAATCTCTTGATTTCATAGCCATGTGCTCATAGAAACAGACAGCTCTTCATGATATTCCTGTAGAAGACCCATCTGTATCCGAAAAGTGTTCCATTTCCGTGGGTCAAAACCCTGGGCAAACTTGATCCATCTCCATATTTTTCTACGTCCAGATCTGAGGGGTATCTCCCTATCACCATCGCTACGGCAGGACCCACATGGATGTGCACCCGCGTAAGTTGTGCACATAACCATTCTTAACCACGGACATTTAATCCAAGTATCAGTTGTATACATCTATGGCTTTTATGTGTATATATATATAGCATTTCTTAAGAATGGTCAAATGGTCATAATCCAGGTACCAACTTGTATATACATAGAGGTTATTATCCAGTTATGAATAGGCTGCACATCTGAGTGATGTGGGAAATGGTAAGCCCGTCAGTGCCCCCAATTTCGCATGGTTCCAAACAATGCCCGAAATAATGATACTATTGAATTGACCATTGTGTTGATGTGTATATATATATAAATGTATATGTGTGTATATATATATATGTAAATGATATGCATTCTGCGATATGTTCTGCCATCCAATGCATGTCTCTTAGAGTTCGTTATTGCCATCGGCTTCGAGATGCTTGCCTGCAAGGTATACAAGACAGGGAAAAAGTAAATGATATGCATTAAATTACATTACATCCCATCTCATCACATTACATTACACTACACATTACAAATTACACACTACACATTACACATTACATGACATGACCTTGCATTGCCTTGCATTGCATTACGTTGCAATGCATTGCATTACATTACAATCATTCCATTACATACTTACATACATACTTACATTACATACATACACACATACTTACATACATAGTTACATACATACTTACATACATACCTAGGGTGATGTGTACATGATTATACATGTGACATGTATATGTTTATACATGTATATGTACCAAACAACATACAATACACAGTGTGTGCTGTATGGTATATGATATATGGTATGTGATACATGGTATACATATAATATACATATATTGCATACCTAATAAATATATATATATGTATATATACACCTAATATATATATAGTGTATATATATATTAATATACATATTATATATATAGTGATATATGTATAGTAATATGTATATATATAGAGTATATATAATAGTAGTAGTAGTAGTAGTAGTAGTAGTAGTAGTAGTAGTAGTAGTAGTAGTAGTAGTAGTAGTAGTAGTAGTAGTAGTAGTAGTGGTAGTAGTAGTAGTAGTAGCAGCAGCAGCAGCAGTAGCAGTAGCAGTAGCAGTAGTAGTAGTAGTAGTAGTAGCAGTAGCAGTAGCAGTAGCAGTAGCAGTAGCAGTAGTAGTAGTAGTAGTAGTATATATATATATAGTAATGTAAATATATACATAGAAATACATATATATATATATAGTAATATTAATATATACATTAGTATATATATATATAAATATAGTAATATATATATATATATATAGTAATATATATATATATAAAGTAATATATATATAGTAATATATAAAGTAATATATATATATATAGAAGATATCTATATACAGTATAGATAGTATATATATAGTATATATATAGTATATATATATAGTATATATATATAGTATATATATAGTATATATAGTATATATATAATCCCGATGGGATACATAGAATATGCCCGATTTCAACCCTACGGGTGTGGACAGAAAAAAAAATACTTAGAATATTTGGGGTAGAAATATTTGGGGTAGAATTTTGGAGTGCATAAAGAGTGCCAAAGCAAATACCATAGGAATAATGATATTCCCATATCGAAAACTTGTGTGAAACCAAGCAGATTGAACATTTTTAGGGTTCTGGGTAATTTTCTTCATAGTTCTACGACACCAGTCGTGGGAGGTACCCTTTGGTGAGCCTGAAAAACTCATTTTTTTAATACAATATAAAAAGAAACTGGTCATTTCGGGGGACCTGTTTTTTTGTTGAAACGTTGTAGTTTAGGAACTTCAGACGTCCAGGGTTGCTACTCCCCAAAGGGAATTACATATATGATATATACCCTTTTACATGAAAGAGACCCAATTCCTTGCAGAACTACATACATAGAATACAGGTCCCAAGTGAAAATATTCATCATTTTTTTTGAGGATCACCACCCAATTCCATTGGTTTTCATTGCAAAATAGTTTTTTTTTCATAGTTCTACGACACCAGTCGTGGGGGGTACCCTTCGGTGAGCCTGAAAAACTCATTTTTTTAATACAATATAAAAAGAAACTGGTCATTTCGGGGGACCTGTTTTTTTGTTGAAACGTTGTAGTTTAGGAACTTCAGACATCCAGGGTTGCTACTTGCCAAAGGGAATTACGGATATGATACATACCCTTATACATGAAAGAGACCCAATTCCTTGCAGAACTACATACATAGAATACAGGTCCCAAGTGAAAATATTCATCAATTTTTTTGAGGATCACCACCCAATTCCATTGGTTTTCATTGCAAAATAGTTTTTTTTTCATAGTTCTACGACACCAGTCGTGGGGGGTACCCTTCGGTGAGCCTGAAAAACTCATTTTTTAAATACAATATAAAAAGAAACTTGTCATTTCGGGGGACCTGTTTTTTTGTTGAAACGTTGTAGTTTAGGAACTTCAGACATCCAGGGTTGCTACTCCCCAAAGGGAATTATATATATGATATATACCCTTATACATGAAAGAGACCCAATTCCTTGCAGAACTACATACATAGAATATAGGTCCCAAGTGAAAATATCCATCAATTTTTTGAGGAACACCACCCAATTCCATTGGTTTTCATTGCAAAATAGTTTTTTTTCATAGTTCTACGATACCAAACTTGGGGGGTACCCTTCGGTGAGCCTGAAAAACTCATTTTTTTAATACAATATAAAAAGAAACTGGTCATTTCGGGTGACCGGTTTTGTTGTTGAAACGTTGTAGTTTAGGAACTTTAGACATCCAGGGTTGCTACTCCCCAAAGGGAATCACATATATGATATATCCCTTATACATGAAAGAGACCCAATTCCTTGCAGAACTACATACATAGAATACAGGTCCCAAGTGAAAATATTCATCAATTTTTTGAGGAACACCACCCAATTCCATTGGTTTTCATTGCAAAATAGTTTTTGTTTCATAGTTCTACGACACCAGTCGTGGGGGGTACCCTTCGGTGAGCCTGAAAAAACCATTTTTTAATACAATATAAAAAGAAACTTGTCATTTCGGGGGACCTGTTTTTTTGTTGAAACGTTGTAGTTTAGGAACTTCAGACATCCAGGGTTGCTACTTGCCAAAGGGAATTACGGATATGATACATACCCTTATACATGAAAGAGACCCAATTCCTTGCAGAACTACATACATAGAATACAGGTCCCAAGTGAAAATATTCATCAATTTTTTTGAGGATCACCACCCAATTCCATTGGTTTTCATTGCAAAATAGTTTTTTTTTCATAGTTCTACGACACCAGTCGTGGGGGGTACCCTTCGGTGAGCCTGAAAAACTCATTTTTTAAATACAATATAAAAAAAACGGTCATTTCGGGTGACCTGTTTTTTTGTT